ATAACTTCAACAAACACAAATTGCGGTTAGAATGTGTAAATAACAATAGGAAACTACTATAATATGGTAAAAAAATAAAAATAAAAACTGTCAAAAGCCGATTATGCATGTAATGTCCACTAGGGATGTAAATCGGTGACCGTTTAACCGGTGGTTGACCGTCACAGTGTTAACCGGTCAAAGCTGTCGGTTAAAAAAAGAAAAAGGGGAGAGGGGAGGTCTCTTTAAGTTGTTTTGCATCCACTCACTGATCTGTTGGATACAGTGAAGGAGTGAGTCCACTAGAGAGCATGGACCAGTGGACTCACTCCTTCACTGTATCCAACAGATCAGTGAGTGGATGCAAAACAACTTCCTTCAGCTAAACGCAGACAAAACTGAAATGATTGTCTTTGGTCCCCAGAAACAAAGAGAGAGCATCCATTTGTCACCTCCAGTCTCTCTCCCGAAAACCTTCAAACAAGGTCAGAAATCTAGGGGTAATACTGGACTCAGACTTAAATTTGAATAGTCACATTAAATCAGTAACATCAGCAGCTTTTTACCATCTAAAAAACATTGCCAGGATCAAAAACATTGCGTCTAAAGCAGACTTGGAGATTCTTATCCATGCATTTGTCTCCAGTAGGTTAGACTACTGCAATGGCCTGCTCACAGTCTCTCCAAACAGGCTGTAAAACAGCTGCAGTACATTCAAAATGCAGCAGCTCGAGTCCTGACTAGAACCAGGAAGTACGACCACATTAGTCCGGTCCTCAGGTCTCTGCACTGGCTTCCTGTGGCTCAGAGAATAGACTTTAAAACAGCTCTGCTTGTGTACAAGTCTCTCCATGGCCTCGCACCAAAATATATTAGTGACATGTTAGTAGTAGTAGTAGTTGACAGCACAAACAGAAGAACCGTGACGTCGCCCGGCATGGCGCAGCCGGGGCCCCACCCTGGAGCCAGGCCTGGGGTCAGGGCTCGAATGCGAGCGCCTGGTGGCCGGGCCTAAGCCTACGGGGCCAGGCCGGGCTCAGCCCGAAGGGACGACGTGGGCAGTCCCTCCTGTGGGCCCACCACCTGCAGAGGGGTCCGTGGTGGCGCGGTGCAGAGAGGACTGGGCGGCAGTCGAAGGCGGAGACCTCGGCGACCCAGTCCACACACCCAAAATCTGGCTCTTGGGACGTGGAACGTCACCTCACTGGGGGGGATGGAGCCCGAGCTCGTGGGGGAGGTCGAGCGATACCGACTAGAGATAGTCGGCCTCACCTCCACACACAGCTTGGGCTCTGGAACCCAACTCCTTGAGAGGGGTTGGACGCTCCACTTTTCTGGTGTTTCTCGCGGGGAGAGGCGGCGAGCTGGGGTGGCCATTCTCATTGCCCCCCATCTCAGCCGCCACGTGTTGGAGTTCTCCCCGGTGAATCAGAGGGTCGCGTCCCTCCGCCTTCGGGTGGGGGACAAGTTTCTCACTGTTGTGACGGCCTACGGGCCTAACAGCAGTGCAGAGTACCCGGCCTTCTTGGAGTCCTTGGGGGACTTCAACGCCCAGGGGGGAAATGCCAGTGACACTTGGAGAGGGGTGATTAGGAAGAACGGCCCGCCCGTCTAGATCCGAGCGGTGTTCAGTTGTTGGACTTCTGTGCTAGTCACAGTTTGTCCATCACGAACACCATGTTTGAGCCCAAGGGTGTCCACCAGTGCACGTGGCACCAGGACACCCTAGGCCGGAGGGCGATGATTGACCGCGTGTCTCGGACACTCGGGTGAAGAGAGGGGCGGAGCTGTCAACCGATCACCACCTGGTCGTGAGTTGGATCCGCTGGCAGGGGAGGAAGCCGGTCAGACCTGGCAGGCCCAAGCGTGTAGTGAGGGTTTGCTGGGAACGTCTCGCTGAGCCCCCGTTAGACGGACTTTCAACTCACACCTCCGGGAGAGCGGCGGAGGAGGGGGACATTGAGACCGAGTGGACCATGTTCTCTTCCTCTATCGCCGATGAGGCGGCTCATAGCTGTGGTCGCAGGGTCTCTGGTGCTGGTCCCGGCGGCAATCCCCGAACCCGGTGGTGGATACCGGCAGTAAGGGATGCCGTCAGGCTGAAGAAGGAGTCCTATCGAGCAATGATGGTTCATGGGACACCTGAGGCAGCTGTCCAGTACCGGCAGGCCAAGCGCGCTGCGGCCCGGGCTGTTGCAGAGGCAAAAACCCGGGACTGGGAGGAGTTCGGAGAGTCCATGGAGCATGACTATCGGTCGGCCTCGAAGAGATTCTGGCAAACCGTCCGGCGCCTCAGGAGGGGGAAGCAGTTCTTTGCCAACACTGTGTACGGTGCGGGTGGAGAGCTGCTGGCCTCAACTGGGGATATTGTCGGGCGGTGGAAGGAATACTTCGAGGTTCTCCTCAATCCTTCCGTCACGTCCTCCGCCCTGGAGGCAGAGGCTGAGGATGTTGGGGCGGATACTTCCATCTCTCTGGCAGAGGTCACCAGGGTGGTTGGCAGCCTCCATGGTGGCAAGGCGCCGGGAGTGGATGAGATCCGTCCTGACTATCTAAAGTCTCTGGATGTTGTACTGTCTTGGCTGACACGTCTCTGCAACATCGCGTGGCGATCGGTGGCGGTGCCAATGGAGTGGCAGACCGGGGTGGTGGTCCCTCTCTACAAGAAGGGGGACCAGAGGGTGTGTTTCAATTATCGTGGGATCACACTCCTCAGCCTCCCTGGTAAGGTTTACTCCAAGGTACTGGAGAGGAGGCTACGGCCGATGGTCAAATCTCGGATTCAGGAGGAGCAGTGTGGTTTTCGTCCCGGTCGCGGAACACTGAACCAGCTCTATACTCTCCATCAGATACTCGAGGGTTCATGGGAGTTCTCCCAACCTCCCAACCGTGTTCCCCGGGATGTACTTTGGGGGGTTCTCCGGGAGTACGGGGTCCGGGGTCCTTTGCTGAGGGCCATCCGGTCCCTGTATGACCGTAGCCAGAGCTGTGTTCGCATTGCCGGCAGTAAGTCAGACCTGTTCCCGGTGAATGTTGGCCTCCGACAAGGCTGCCCTTTGTCACCGGTTCTGTTCACTGTGTTCGTGGACAGAATTTCTAGGCGCAGCTAGGGGTCGGAGGGTGTCCGGTTCGGGGACCACAGGATTTCATTTCTGCTGTTTGCGGATGATGTCGTCCTCTTGGCTCCAACGAACCAGGACCTGCAACATGCACTGGAGCGGTTTTCAGCCGAGTGTGAAGCGGCTGGGATGAGAATCAGCACCTCCAAATCCGAGGCCATGGTGCTCGACCGGAAAAAGGTGCCTTGCCCTCTTCAGGTGGGTGGAGAGGTCCTTCCTCAAGTGGAGTTCAAGTATCTCGGGGTTTTGTTCACGAGTGAGGGAAGGATGGAGCGTGAGATTGACAGGCGGATCGGTGCAGCGTGCGCAGTGATGCGGTCGCTGTATCGGACCGTTGTGGTGAAGAGGGAGCTGAGCCGAAAGGCAAAGCTCTCAATTTACCGGTCAATCTTCGTTCCCTCCCTCACCTACAGTAGGTCCCATTCCGTTTTGTCGCCTTTCACGCGTGAATCACACGTGAGTCTCGTGTGATTCACGCGTCTTTTATTTTCCCCCCTCCCAGTGATGCTGCAATGACCAAAACAACCACCAGGTGGCACTTGTGAGCAGGGTTACATTGGCGAGTTTCTGCCCCGCACACAATGACAATCTGTCATTGATCCATGCTCCCAGCAGACTCGAACGAACACGAAGTGGAACGTGAAGTTTAATGTAAGTAACTTTTCAATTGTTTTTCATGTGACAGTATATTCATTATTGTCTTTGGGTTGTGTTGCATTGTACACATGTCGTCATTGCGTCACATCAGCGTCGGCTAACATTATATTTTTAGATGCTAGGTATTTTTTCTCCTGCGTCAAAATGGAACTGAGAGATATTCAACTTTTCGTCACATGAAACAAGGCATAGCCTATGCTATGTTATCTAACGCTGGTTTAAAACTCAATTGAATATTAGTTTAGCGTTAATCGGACTAATTTCCATCCGCGGGAAATAAGGCACATGGTGTTTGCTAGCTTAGTTAAACAAGTTAACCATTTGAAAAGAACTAAATAATTTATTTTCTCATTTTCCTTGGAAGTAACACAAGGCTACGCAATGTAAGCAAATAAGTATAATACAGCTCGGAAACTTGTGTTGAAACAATCGCGTCAAATACTACAGTTCCCATCATGCTTTTGCTTTGTCACGTGTCCTCCTCAAACAACAACAAGCACAGGCATGCCTGTGCTTTATTTAGCAAAGAGTTTGGTCTCGTTTCTCAAACGTAAATCTGGGCTGTGTACAGAGGACTGCGTGCTTCGGTATGTACAAACGACGCTGCGCGTGATTTGATTCATAGCGTAGTTAATGTTGTAGCGTAGCTTCTTCTGAGGCCAGTTTTCATTACTTTCATGACTGTCTTTCTTATATCGCTATGCACTCCACTAAACATGGCTGATACTTAGTTATTATTGCTTAACAAGTAGATACGTCTTTCCGTTTTTTTCGTTTGGAGACTGAAAATATATCCCAAAGCATTTATGTTCCCCCCGTGCAACTAAAATTGTATGAATTATTTGTGAATTTAGACAATTAAATAATAATTATGTGAACATTGTGAAATTAATCACAAGTAATGTAATGTTACAGTATATTTGACAATTTATAAATATTACATTATTTATATATTATACTGTAATGTTAAAGTATATTTTACAATTTTCTTTCAGATTCAGGAGAGAAGTGCTGATATTGACACCAGATCTTATACCCACCACTTCTACTTTGGTAGCTTCAATCAGGTAAAAATGTAACTATACATTTGGGGATTGACCTAACTGGGCCCTTCCCCAAAACTACTGATGGCTATCAGTACATATTTACAGCCACTGATTATTTTTCAAAGTGGGTAGAGGCTTTCCCATTGAAAACCAAGACGGCTGCGGAGGTTGGGCAAAGACTTTGCTCTATAATATACAGGCATGGGTGCCCGAAGCGGATCCTGTCTGATCAAGGGCGGGATTTTGTAAATGAGGTGAATATTGCTTTTTGTAGTTGTTACTTTTTTTTGTTCATACTTTCTTATTCATTTAATTTTCATTGTTTTAGCTCAATGATTCTCTGTGCTTCTCCGCTGCGTACCACCCACAGACTAATGGGTTGGACGAAAAGACCAACCACAACATCAAGAGGCAAGAAAGATATGTATAATTTAATCATGTGAAGCACACATTAAATATATGACTGATGGCAAACCCTACATGTTTTAATTTCCCCCATTTAAACAATGTTCGGAATGTCTTTCTCAGAGCTTTGATGAAGTTGGTGAATGAGCAGCAGAACAACTGGGACACATTCCTTGATGCCACACTGTTCTCTTTGAGGTCAAAGGTGCACATCTCAACCAAACACACCCCATTCCAGTTGATGTATGGGCGGGAGGCTGTGTTCCCCTCAGAGGTGCCTGTAGATTATCCTGTAAGTTCCATTCGTTCAATTGTTGGGTTACACAGAGGGGGAAGAAGCTGGACAAGGTCATCAGTAAGTTCAGCTCAGTCATGGGCTGTTCCCAGTGCAGCAGGTGGGGGACCATGACTGTCACCCCCTGCAGGACACACTGCTCTGGAGAGCAGCTTCAGTGAGAGCTATTCATCCTCTATGTGTGAAGAAGAGGTTGCACAGGTCTTTCCTTCCTGCCGCTGTCAGACTGTACTGTGAGAACTGCTGATCCTGTACATGTCATCTCGTCTGTAAATAAGTAGTAAGTAAATACTGTAACAATCACATTTTCCCACTGTGGGACAAATTATACCTTATTTTATTTAGGAGACAATCATGGCACTTTCTTGACCCACCAATCAAAAACAAGTGGAGGAAAAATCAAGAGGCTTTTGGAGGATTTGAAGAAGGGAAAAATAGCAGATTCACCAGGTAGGGATAGTAATGTCAGTAATATTTGTTACTTTGCATCTAACGTTTTTCCAATGCTTTTAGGACACTGCCAAATGTGACAGCTACACACCAATGGAACTTGAGAGTGAGAAGGTGCTTGACATACAAACAGAACAGGTATGTCTAGTAGTAAATATTACAATTTATTGTATTTTCATTATAAATTAAAACTTTTGTGTTTCCTTAGAGCAATGAGGTATAAGGGAGTTTTTACATGGAAAAAGTCTTGAAGCGGACTATAGTGTCACTGATTGTCACACGCAAGTCAAAACATTTCTCTTGTAACCAAATTCATTGTTTTCTCAGGGTATGCCCCATTGTACAAAGAAGAGCTAAATGAACAACTGATTGCCTAAAGATGTGCAGAAACCCGTCTCCGAGCACCAGACATCACAGCTGAAGCGTTATTCTTTGTAATAATTAAGAATACAAATCCTGTTAACATTGAAACTTTTTTTTGCAGGCTTTTTTGGGCAGGAATGCACTTGAATGAAAATGTCAAACGTGGGCAAGATTCTTCAAAGGGGCAGTCTTTATTCAAAGTTCCAACCCAAAGTACATCAAAGGAAAGCAAACAGCAAAGCCAACACTTGGTAAAGAAATAATACTGTACAAACATTACAGTACAATAACTTAATAATATATTATTACAGAGGCTGACCAGGACAGAAAGCCAACCCACTGGCCTTCAGGATCTGTGAACTCTTCGCGTATCCTGAGCACATCACATGCAGGAATGACCTGGCTCCCAGTCGTCCCGAGCACCAGCTAACCAACTCCACAAATCTGAGACTCCTGTGGAATTGGACACGTATGTTAATTATTGTAATTTGCTGTTTGCGTAGTGTACTGAAATGTTTTGTCCCTTTGTCTGTTTCATGGTGTGACGACGAGACCATTTGCACCTGCTGACTGTCCTCCTTCAGCCCGACTCGTGGGCTGCACCCCTGCCTGGGAGCTGCCTCAGTCCTCGTTCTGCTGCCCCAGTCCCGCCCTGCGCCCTGGTCCATGTTCTGTAGCTTCGAAGTATTTCAGAAGATTTTCTTACATTTAGATGCATTTAAGCCATCCCCGAAAATACAAACACTGAAAGTCAAGCTACTGTCCAAAACATAAGAGAAGCAATTTTGTTCAGCATAAGAGAAAAGGCCACAGATTTTATATAATTTGATGTTGTTACTTTAGCTTAGACTCTAGCTTAGACTAGAATATGAAAATTAGTCATTAAAACATGGACATGTTAAATTAATTGACTATTCTTGAATCTAGTAACTCCTCATGTAACAGTGTTTTAATTAGGGAAAATGTGAAAGAGCTCGGCCACTTCTAAAATTACCTCGGTCTGGAGCCATTGAGATTTACTGCGAGAGGCTAATGCTACAACATCCTGGTCTTTAGCTGAACAGAGGCTCAAAGACCAGGCAGGTGCATCATCTCATCTAAGCTAATGACATTTAATTATAGAAAATCAATGGCCTATCTCTATACCATTCCCATTGCATCCTTTTTGTGATAATTAAGTTTTCTGTTGTCATGTGTTCTGCTTTTAAGGTCAGCTTTAGTTCATCTTTTAGTTTTCATTGTTGATGTGTGAACTTAAAAGTTTGTCAATAAAACAGGTTGTTAAATGTTGATATTTGCATATTGTTTTTTCTTATTAATTCAATAATAATGTAATTGTTACACACATATAGTACTTAATAAGTATTATTGCAATGATATGAAATATACTGATAAAATATAAATAACATTTATTCAAGTTATCCATTATTGTAAATGATCTGTACACATAATGGTTACTCAGTATATCTATTTCACACATAAATAACCTAAAAAAAAATCACATAAACCTTACTTGATTATTTTATGTGATCAAGTAAAAAAAATCACATTTGTTAAGTAAGGTTTACTTACAAATAACATTCAGATTATACTTGATGAAATAAAAAGTTTTACTTGATTTATAGTAGTAATCTTTAATTATATCTTCGTGCAAATACTTACGAGGATTTTTTTAAGTAAATGTTAAATCACGATTTTTTTCAGTGTATAACGTAAACTTTTGCATCACGTTGGTGATCTTTCCAAAAAGAGAGAATATCGTTATGGAAAGAGAAACTATTGGTAATATAACGCTGAACGTTATTTGACTCAAACAGCTTGGAACAATTGGATTACAAAATTTGGACATCATTTGGAACAATCTGGATTTCTGAATTTGGACATCATTTGGAACAATCTGGATTTCTGAATTTGGACATAATTTGGACTGAATTGAATTACTGAATCTGGACACTAAAGCTGAAACGTGCGATTGAAAGACACGTCACAGAAGAATTCATGGCTTGACACAAATGCAGCCTGAAGAAATCAACACGGAGAAGTGGGAGAGACTGTTTTCAAAGCAATATCTGAGAACCATTGACTGATGAAGTTTGGTATTTTACTGAAGATTGTTGACAAGTTTTATGAAAGATTTGAAAATGTTTTATGAGTTTTCTGAGTTTTTTGAAGTACCGAGTGAAGTACCGAGTTTAAGTATTGAGTTATGTATGTTTGTTCTACGTAAATACTGTATGTGTGCTATTTTTGTTGCACAATGCTGTAGAATTGCAAAGAGCATATGCAGTAAATATGTGAAAGACATACAGTACATACATATATATCTCACTAAATACAGTCACAATGAAAACATGACTAAATCATTTGACTGTTGTTCATAAACACTGGTGTCAGGACACAGACACAGACCGTTTCATTGACATGAAGACTTTCTTTTGAGGAATTAAGTTCATTTTGAGGAAGTGACTTTTTAGCAAGTTATCCATGAGGTTTTGCCGATTGCACTAATTGTTCTGAGAAATGCACAAACTGATTACAAAATATATACTGTGCATTCTCAGGGGACACACTGCCATGGCATCTCTTCTGCATTGTCCACATGTGTACTGTATCTGTGGACTACTGTAGTACTCTCTTGGAGCTCTCCCTCCCCCGCACGAATAAACAAAGCCCACCCCAGGCCCCTGCTGTTATAAGTCATTACCTAAATTTGCAAATCAATACATGCAAATGTTAGCAGCCAACCTAGCATAGTGTGTATCATCTATGGTATTAAGCAACTTTTGTTAAAGTTAAACTCATCATTCTATCAATGTGCAGAAGCCAGTACTTTTCCCTTGTTTTGTCTATCTGAAGGCCAAGCTACAAGCACAACGTGGAAGCTGCTGATTGGAGGTCTCCATGCCTCCGCTCTGTATAATACACTTGTATTCTGTTGTATCTGTTGTTCGTGCTGTCTCTACCATCGACAATAAAACATGTCTTCTGTCTGAATTTAAGACGCGATCCCAGACTTTGTCATCTTCTTCAGGTGGTGGAGAATGCGGGCATTGTCTGTAACATCTAGAGAACAGAAGACTACTTTTTGTTTAAAGTCATAATTTCAATATTTTTTATTTTTATACACACATTATTAACTAAACTGTTGCGTTCTAATCTTTTTTTAGGAGGAGGAGAGCGCAGTCAGGCCAGGCTCGCCTCGCACATCTTAACACTAGAACTTGTTGATTAGCATTTGTATAGCTCACAGCATTGTCATTTACATGTTAAAGCCTCCTGTGGAGGAGGGAGGAGGGGACAACAAACTACCGTCAACAGCCGAATCCCAGAAGTTTCACAGTAATATACAGGGCCGAAAAGAGACAAAAATCACACTTTTCACTTTTCTCAAAAAAAAAGATGACTTAAAGGAACAATATGTAAAAATCTGGCCAAAAGTGGTACTGCAGTCATAGTCAATATTTTGTAGTCCTCTCCCACTCTCCCTGACTCAGGTTGCCAGATTCACACCAAATCCAGCAGCAAACACAGGGAATTATTTTATCAGTTGTTTGTCCGTCTCCATTCACATTGCCATGACAGCCGTGCTAATGCTGAATGAATGTTTTGATTAATGTTTTTTTATTATTATTATTTGGACATTTGAGATAAAAAACAAAAACAAAATAAAAGCAATGTAATTATACATAGTTTATGCAAAATAAATAAGCAATTGATGTCCAAAATAGGAGTGGGAAGAATGGATGTTGGAACGTATTTCTTCAGCGTATCAACATCAGGGTTTGCTCAAGAGGATATCACCTTTCAATTTTATTTATTCCCTATTTTTTAGACAAACATGTAAAAGTTCCACATCAAAAAGAGACTAACATTATTTTAATTGGGGTACATGTGGTCTTAAATGATTATTTTTACATTTAAGCTATAATCTGCAAAAAAAACGTCTTGACCTTCATCTTTTACCGTTTTTAGAGAAATCTGTCATAGAATGTGATAACATGCAATAAATACAAAAATACATAGCGCGGGATCGAACCCAGGTTCCTGCATCGTAAGCGCACACCTTAGACCACTAGACCAGGGGTTCACACGATCAGAGACACTGACTCAATTGTTCAAAGCCATCCCTATATAAATCCTCGTTTTAGTCTTTGTTTTGTCATTAATGATTTGAGAGTCATAACAAGACAGTAAATACCAGAAGAAGACCTCACTAAAAAATCACGAGAGGCAGATCGCTTTCAGAATGTCTTTATTTTCGAATTCGCATAGAATTCTATAGACAATACATAATTATTTTAAATATATACGTTAATGCAATTCGTATTATAAAGATAAAGATTATAAAGAAAGAAATAGCATTCAATAGAAACCTCGATAGAAACCTCAACCTTTCACCTCGATTTTTTCAGACATTAAAGACAAGATGTTATATAATAATTGTTTAATGAAAAAACAATTTTGCCACAAGCAACCAAAAGATGTGCCTCAGACAAGAATCGAACCTGGATTCTCCAGGTCCCAGTCTCTAATGTTATCCATTTGGCCAACATAGCACCTCTGGGCTAGACAGGTTTGCACGCAGTCTTATACCTGAGCGTCTAAGTCGCTGGCAGAGCTAAAGCGGACTTAGCCTGCCACCTTGTGGCGATAAGATGTACTATTTTTCACGCAGCTGCGTGATTCCCGAGAAGCGAATGAAGACGACAAAACGGAATGGGACCTACTGTATGGTCATGAGCTTTGGGTAATGACCGAAAGAACGAGATTGCGGATACAACCGGTCGAAATGAGCTTCCTCCGCAGAGTGGCTGGGCGCTCCCTTAGAGATAGGGTGAGGAGCTCAGTCACACGGGAGGAGCTCGGAGTAGAGCCGCTGCTTCTTCACGTCGAGAGGAACCAGTTAAGGTGGCTCGGGCATCTGTTCCGGATGCCTCCTGGACGCCTCCCTGGGGAGGTGTTCCGGGCACGTCCCACCGGGGGGAGGCCCCGGG